TCAGTACACTTTGTCAATAGATTATCTTAACCGAGATGATGACCACATCATTTTTTTCATTGGTCAGTCAGTATCACCTAATACTAAGATAGCAAGTAGAGAGCATTATAGTAAAGTCTTCTATGTACGGGTGTTTAAAATAGTATATTGAAAAAAAGCAGTAAGGGATGTATTGCCATTGATTTCAGTGCAGGAAGCACTATCTTATGTGCAAAGAAAGCAATCATTAATCGACTTAGTGAATGCAGTTGTTCTGAAACAAGTCTTTCAACTGGAAATTCCAGTAGAGATAACTTTCAACCAGTAATACAAAGCTAAAAATATTATTTATATCTTAAATTGCGTCGCCAAATATTCAACCCAAACCCGACCCGACCCTAGGGTCGGGTTGCAGGTCTCTCACTACTGCTGAATTCTTGTAGCATTCACTAGAAATAGTTATCAGCAACTTAGATTCTATTCAGAGCGATAGAAATTTCAGAACTTTCTTGTTAACTCTTGAATATTTAGATACTTTCTTGTACTACGTGCAATTTTCGTTGTTATTTCTTTATTCAGACATGGTGATATGTTGTATTTGGTTGCTGAATGTGATGATGTATTGCCTGCAACAAGCAACGATTATAGTTCATCATTCCGTGGAATTGGTATAAAAAATGATCCAACAATGACTACTGGTGCGTCATTTTCACCTTATTCACGTAGTGGTGGCAGTTATTTTACAAATGGTAGTAGTTTGGTTTCTGATTCAATTCCGTATGGAAGTACTAGTGCAGATTCTAATTACATATCAAAAAGTGATCTTAAAGAAGATGAAGTTGATCAGCAATTAGAGAAAATTGATGGGAGAATTCAACGAAATCGTGATCCGCAATTGTGAGTATGTTACTGTTTAAATTGAGAGATGATGTTTATTTACTCATTTTTTTTCTACTCTCTTTAGATGTCATCATAATATACACGGAAAATGTATTCATTGTATTCCAATTGAACCGTATGATGAAGATTATTTAAGAAATCGTAATCCACCAATTAAACATATGTCATTTCGAGCTTATATAAGAAAATTGCAAAATGCATCGCCCGGTGATAGGTACATTGTTTTGTAACATTCAAAAAGTCAATCGCATAATTTCTTTTTTCATTTAGAAATATATTTGCTAGTTTAGAAAATATTAACTGCTCAATAAAAGAAAAATGTAGAACTGGTCATGCACCATGGCCAAAAGGCATATGCACAAAATGTCAACCAAACTCATTAACATTAAACCGACAAGTATTATAAAGATTGATCACTAAGATAAAGATTAGACAAACTTATTCTCTTTGTTAGCCCTATCGTCACGTTGACAATATTATGTTTGAAAATGGAAATTTAGTCAATCGTTTTTTAAACTATTGGCGATCTTCTGGTTTTCAGCGCGTTGGGTTTTTATATGGACGATATGAAGTTTATGACGGGGTTCCGCTAGGAATTCGAGCAGTTGTTGCTGCGATCTATGAACCAGCACAAGTAAGTATGAGAACTGGAATTAGTACTTTATCTGTTTATTTCGTTTTCTGTATTCTAAAATTAAACTGGATCGTTTTTGAAAAGAAAGTAACGTAATGTCCGAGGATTGCTTCTAATGGATAGACCAGAATAAATGGAATTTTCCCGTTTTTAGACGCTTAGGTGTGCTTTGAAAATTCCATTCTAGGCTCATTCGTTAGAGAATTTTCTTCTTTCCAAAACTCATTACCGTCTTTTCTTACATGTGGTTTGATTATTTGAAAAAGTAGTAGTGCAGAGTAAGGACGGTTAAGAAGCATAACTAGGAGTTACTATCAAAATTTTGTTGGCTTTTCGACTTTTGTGTAATTTTTCAAATTGTGAAAATTTGAGTGCACAAATTAATCAGCACTTTCTGGCAAGATGAGATTTTGAAAAGAGCAGAGAAAAGACTAGCCAACCAACGCAGTGTAAGTATGCGATATGGAAGGTTTTGTAGAGCAGAAAATCCTTAATCTCGTGGAGTCAGAACGAAGCCTTGAAACCATACGTTACTGTTACACAGACAAAAATCGGTAAATAAATAAATTTGATCAGTTCGCAGTTGTTTTCGCAGAAATAACACTGATCCTTTTGAAGAAAAACATTAAAAAAACGAAACGTTTTTGAGTAAATCGACCGAGTTCAACGGGTATTCAGTTTTGTGCATAAGTTAGTTCATTCTCTACATTTTCTCTCAGAGGCGTCACATGAGAAAAATGCTTCCCAGTTGAGATTAAACAAGATTTTCTGTTTAGCAGAGAAAGTTGAAGCTTTTTCATGAATGAATTGCACAAATCCTGAAAAGTAGTTAAAAATTCCACAATTCAGTATTTCGGAGGGTTTTTGTATCTGTCACTATACGAAACGCATTTGAGTTTTGCAGAACGCAAAAACTCCTCAAATACTGCTTCAAATACGGCCAGGCGTGTTTTGAAATACTGCATCATTTTAGGACCATCCGTAGTTATTAATAACTAAATGTTAGAAAAAGTTTTATTTTTTAATTAATTATATGAGGATGCATTCTTTATGGAAAGTACCGGTAATGATTAGCTAACAGAAACATTATTAAGTAATTAATTAGGTCAAATGCAAAAAAAATGACAGTCTGTTTCTTCCGCTACAGTTGTACTTCTTAGCCGTCCTTACTCTGCACTACTTTTCCAAATAATGAAGCAACTTGTAATGAAAGAAGGTATTGTGTTGTGTAGAGAAGAAAATTCTCTATCGAATGAACTTAGAATGGAGTCTTCAAATACATTTAAGCGTCTAAAAACGGAAAAAAACGGAATTTTGTTCCAGTTATTCTGGCTTACGCGTTATATCAATATGCCTTAAACATCAATTACTAACAATGCTATAAATAATAGTGCTGTATCCTTTTTCTAATTTTGTCACTATTTCATTAAGCATCCTTAGGTTTAAAAAAACTCAACAAAAAACAATACCTGGATCGCGTGATTGTTACTGTCTGTTTGAGTCTTCTATTATTATCGCAGGTCTTACGTTTTTTCTAGGAAACATCACGTGATTCTGTAAAATTAATTTTTCCCGATCCGCATGCAGCACTAGTGGACGATGTATTTGGAAGATTGAACATGCGTCGTATTGGTTGGATATTTACTGATCTTTTACCAGATGAGACAAAATCGGGGAATGTATTGCATCATCGTGGAAATACAGTAAGAAAATATATCATCAAACGGTTTATTAGTAATATTGATGTTTTTTTTTATTTCTTTTAGAATTCTTATTTTTTGAGCGCTCAAGAATGTATTATGGCTGCTTGGTTTCAAAATAATTATCCAAATGTTTGTAAATATTCTCCAGATAAATTTCTAGGTTCAAAATTTGTTACAGTAGTTGTTACCGGTATGTATTTATGTATTTTCAACTTCAATCATTGTACAGAATATAGACACAGAACAGTGAATTTAGTTTTACAGTTTACTGCAAAGCTAAGTTCATGTGTTCGAATCTCTGTTCGTACAAAACTGGTTTTGTGTTTTTCGATAGTTTTAGTTTAGAATACTATAACAGAATATTTTTCTCTTGTATTCTGACAGAATAAAGCTTATATAAACAGAACACAAAAAATATAACAAAAAATGACTACTGGTAACATCGAGTCGATTGCACAACTTTAATCGTTGTACAGAATATAGACATAGAACAGTGAATTTAAAAATTTTAAAACCAATGTGGCGGCTATCATGTTAAGAATTTTAATAAAAAGTTTTAATAAAATAATAAAAATAAAAATTAAACAATTAAAACTAAAACATTAAAATTATAATTCGATATTTCGATCTATTAATACGGTCATTTTCAAGTTTCTCTTCATACAGGATGTTACATAAAAATATATATATATATATATTTTTTATGTATATATATTTTACCGTATTATTTAATGTATATATATCTTTATGTAACATCCTGTACGAAGAGAAACTTGAAAATGACCGTATTAATAGGTCGAAATATCGAATTATAATTTTTAATGTTTTAGTTTTAATTATTTAATTTTTTATTATTTTATTAAAACTTTTTATTAAAATTCTTAACTTTGTTCGAAAAACGTTACGGTGAATTTAGTTTTGTAGTTTACTGCAAAGTTAAGTTCATGTGTTCGAATCTCTGTTCGTACAAAACTGATTTTGTGTTTTTCGATAGTTTTAGTTTAGAATACTATAACAGAATATTTTTCTCTTGTATTCTGATAGAATTAGCTTATATATGTATTTTATGCTTATAAAAATTCTGATTATTAGTATCTCGATACTTTATTTCTATTTTAAGGTGATTCAAATGGTCAAATCCATTTTGAAGGTTATCAAGTATCAAATCAGTGTATGGCATTAGTTAAATCAAAATGTTTAGTACCAACATATGATGCATCCGAATTAGGCTATATTAAAGAAACAAGTCAAGAACAGTATGTACCAGATGTATATTATAAAGTGAGTGAAGATATGTGAGTTAGTGTCTGCTACAATTAATATGAATATGATCGAGGACAACATACATATCATAAAGAAAATTGGATGCATCTCAGTTACAAACAAATTGAGAATAATTTTGTCTGCATTTTTTTAAACTAGTGTATTGAATTATAAAACTAGATATAAATTCCTTTTTACTGCATTCATTTTTCTCTAATTATAGGAAAAGGATTCTTATAATAACGAAGTAATGAAAATCGGACGGCCATTACCTCTAGAATATTTGATTATCGATGTACCAACTGGATTTCCGTCTGATACAACTAGACGTTCAACATTCAATGATTCTAGTCATTTCGTGAAAATACCATTTACTGTGGAAAATCGTATGCAAATAGGTGAATTACAAGTACGTAATCTGATTTAATTATCTGTTATTTTTATTAAAATGAAAATTTGTATTTTTCTTCATCAGAATATGAACACATTATCAAGTTATCTAGGTCAATTTAAAACAGTTGAAGGCAATGGACCGACAACAGTATCAACATCAAATTTTCAAGCATTCGATATTATGGCTGATATTCATCTTCTATTGTATTTAGCGGTCAATGATATTTTACCATTTTCTAAGGTAAGATGCAACTTTCCTCTTCAACAAGAAACATACTCTTCTCATTATTTTCAGAATCAGCTTGATCCATTATTAGATGCAATTCGTGTAAATGATACAAGTGGTATTGAAACATGGATGGAAAGCAGTGAATGGCAAACAGTTGTACAAGTATTACAAACACAAAGTAAGAAAAATCAATTTTAGAGATAAATCAGAGCGTATTTTTAGCTCTTCAGATAAATTTACTGTGTTTTTATTGTTTTTTAGGTCCTAGTCCGTTACCATCAATGTCACATCATCCATCTATGGATTATGATACATTTAATAAACATCAACAATCATCCAATAATCGATATTGGACTTGTGAAAGGTGTACATTTCTTAATGAAGGATCGTCCAAAAAATGTGAAATGTGTTCATTTGAAAAGTCTTAAAATAATTTATTAACGTTTCTTTTTTACACTGATTATTTTCATAAATTGTATGCAATTTTGTTTTTTATGTTACAATGTTTTCTTGCTCTTTCTATCTTACTTTTAAAAAGTAAAAATAAATAAATAAATCAAGAATATATAAATATTTTATTTTTCATCTGTGCTTCACGAGACGAATCTAATATATTTTTTTTGACTAAATTTTTCTAGATACAAGAAAAAAAATCATCCTGTTTACATCTATACGAGTTCTAATTAATTTTCATTCATCTTTTTCTTTTTTGTCAGAAAATCAAATTAGACAATGATTTATTAATAATATATATATATATACTAACGTTTTTTTCTTCTTCTAAAATTTCAAAAACGTTTTTCATCATTATTTAATATCATGAGTGCATTAACGAATAGACAAATTGGTGGTAATGGTGATGTTTCGTCTGATAATAATGTACCGTCGCAATATAAAGTTTTAACATTAACATTTAATCAAGATTGCACGTAAGTTCTTTAAACTATAATAAATTTAATTTATTATGTCTTCTATCTCGTTTAGATCACTTGCATTGGGCACAGAGAAAAATTATACATTGTACACAATTTCACAAGATAAAATTGATGAAATATATGATTGTCGTATGTAATTTTGTCTCATATTATTCTACAAATACAACAAAAAACTCGTTTTTTTTCTTCTCTTCAACACATTAGCTTATGATGATGTACGTATTATTGAACGTTTATTTTCAAGTTCATTAACCGCTTTAGTTAGTAATCAATCACCGAGAAAATTAAAAGTATGCCATTTTAAAAAAGGAACAGAAATATGTTCATATTCATTTGCCAATACAATTTTATCCGTTAAACTTAATCGTCAGGTAATTTATTTTTGATATTCTACTTTTAAAAGTTTAACTAATAAATGATACTTTTAGTAGAGAAAATACTAAATTGTCTAATGTTTGAACAAAATCTGTGCATGTTTTTTAGTATATTAAAAAAAAAAGATGTTATTTTAATAAGTACATTTTTTCCTTTCAGTTATTAACTTCTAAAAAAAGATATTTTCAACATTCTAGCGTTTAATTGTTTGTTTGGAAGAAAGTATTTATATCCATAATATGCGTGATATGAAAGTATTACATACAATACGTGATGTACCATCGAATCGAGAAGGTCTATGTGCATTATCATCTAACAGCGAAAATTCTTATTTGGCTTATCCAGGTAGTTCAATTAGTGGTGAAGTTCAAATATTTGATACACTCAATTTGGTATGGTTAATATACTGTTTATATTTTATATAATTCACTATGTATTCTATGTATTTTTTTCTCTCAAAGAAATCAGTATCAATTATAGCAGCACATGATAGTCCTCTAGCAGCAATTGCATTTGATATAACTGGCAAAAAAATAGCAACTGCATCTAATAAAGTATAAAAAAAAATTGGAAATTAAAATGTGTAAAATGCTAAAAGATCGATTTGTTTCTAGGGAACAGTAATTCGTGTTTTTAATTCTGCTGATGGAGCACGTTTATATGAATTTCGTCGTGGTGTAAAAAGGTATTTTTCTTATATTAATAATTAATTATTCAGAAGATTAGATAAGTGTATCTTTTGTTTATAGAATTGCAACAATTCATTCATTAACATTCAGTCCAGATGGCATGTTTTTAGCCGCATCAAGCAATACAGAAACGATACATATTTTTCGTTTGACTAATACAAAAGACAAGTATTATTGTACTTTTTTTGTTTCTAGTTGTTTTTCTAACATTATGACAGTTATTTGTAGAGCACCAGAAGAAACGAGTTCTTGGATGGGTTATTTTGGTCGCGCATTTGTTAGTGCGGCACATTATTTACCAACACAAGCATCTGAAGTTTTGACGCAAGATCGTGCATTTGCTACTGTACATTTACAATCACCAGGCATGAAAACGACTTGTGCAATGACAGTGTAAGTGTATTTAGTGTTTAAATTTGAAGTGTTGACACTTATCTCCATATTTTCTTTTGTAGTATGAATAAAATACTGAAATTATTTGTTGCCGGTTATGATGGTGTTGTTTGTATTTATGAAGTAAATACTGTTGAAGGTGGAGAATGTAAACAACTCGGCCAGTATTTGTTATTTAACATGTCTGCAAATAATAGTAATGGTGGAGGAGGAGATTCAACAGTAGCCACTGGTCATCGAAATTCACTTGGTAAGCTGTAGTCTAAATTTGTGTAATGCAAAAGTTCAAGATAATATATTGTTTTCTAAAAATCAGTGCACGAAAAAAAACAACAAGAAAAAAAATCTTCTGCTTTATTTTCGTTATAGATGGTGTTCGACATCCGTCCATGTTACAAAATGAAACAATACCACAAACGACCACAGCAACAATCAACTCGGCACGTTCGCCAAGCGCGCCAGATCTTGATGAAGAAAATTTTCCACGTTTGAATTTGCCTCAAGATGCATTTGATTAATATTTCTTTTTCTATTTGTATGTTCTATTTATTTTGAATTTTCTCTTCTTTTTTTATATATATAATACGCGCATGTGTGAAATCTATTTCTGGTCAGTATGATATTACACTATTATTAATCGATAGTTCGGCTATCGCATTTCTGTTTTTTCAACATATAAACAGGTAAATATTGCAAACAATGTAGTTGGCATACAAGTGAAAACGTGTGAAAATTTTTTTCGTTTTTGTTTGCCTTACATTTATCTGCCTGTTTTATACATGTTTCTAAAGGACTCTCTTTTCTTGTCTTTTTGTTACAAAAACATTTTGTACATAAAATTGTTTGCTTGTTTTTACTACATCTCCTCAACCAAAAAAAAAACGTGCTTTATGTCAAACAACGTGTTTCATTTTAAACATAAGTTCGAACTTTAATGTTTTCATTTTCTGATAAGAGAGATTCGTTATTTTCTTTTTCTTCGTGATCGATAATAAAGTGATTGAATGTAGAGGAAAAACCAAAAGCACTGCTGATAGTATTATAGAGGTAACGAATTAAATTCATATCGTATAAAAAAGTTGGAAAACGAAAGCGAGGATAACGAATGTGACCTTATCATTTATTAAAGTTGAAGGTTCATCTATAGACAAATGATTTTCTGTTCATGTTCGAGAAATATGAAGATTACCGAGAGATTTTTGATTACTGACAGCCGATATATAGCCGTTATCTGCTACATGGTAAATGTCGAGTTTATGGATGGAGAAATCTTGTATTTAATCGGTAAATATGGACAGTCGTTTTATACATAGGAGAAGGAGAGAGACATCTACGGTATTTTATTTGTTGGCGCTCTTTACTCAGTAGGACATTCTCGAAAATTACTAGTCGGATCATTTCAAACACGGAGGTATTTCTTCCAGAATTGCCACATTTCCACGTTTCGGATCTCTATAGGTGGCACTCGCGATCTTTTCTTTGCTAATATCTGACTTGAACAGAATAAAGCAGATGTGGACTCAGTTAGAAGCAGGCATGCAACGGTTATTTTATTGGAGCTCTTGGCGGTACTAGTTTTAAAAATCGGAGAAACTTTTTAAAATTTGTTCAAGTCGACAGTTTTGTGTACAAATGTTTGCTCTACAAAATAAGGCATTGCAGACTTTCTCATGATGGTTTTTACCTGAAAAACTGAGCGGTCCTATTTTAGAGAAAAAAATTTATATCTCATCAATGAACCATCATGAGAAAGTCTGCAATATCTTATTTTGTAGAGCAAACATTTGTGCACAAACAAACATTGTTGACTCGGACAAATTTTAAAAAGTTTCTCCGATTTTTAAAACTAGTACCGCCAAGAGCTCCAATAAAATAACCGTTGCATGCCTGCTTCTAACTGAGTCCACATCTTCTTTGTTCTGTTCAAGTCAGATATTAACAAAGAAAAGATCGGGAGTTTAGAAACGATTAGATTAGGAGCGCAAAAATCAGAATTCTGCCCGTGATTCTCAATTGTTTCCATCAGGAGTCAAGTTTTATGCAATAAAAATACCATAGTTGGAATCAGTATCACAAACTGAATCGAATGATATGTATTTCGGAACTTTTTGTTGATTTTCATTTTTTGGCGAAAATCTCAGCAATTTTTCTACGTGAAAATTCAAAACGCACCAAATAGTCGAATAGACTAACAAAGTACACCATTCGATTCAGTTGCGCTCCTGATCTAGAAAAAAATGAATTTTCTCAGTGACAAAGCAAAATGAAAAAAAGAATCGATCTGTACTTTTGAAGCTCGTTTAATGACGGTTCTAATGAAGCACAAAAATCTCATCGACTTCATCTCTTCACAAAAAATACTAGACAGGTTCGCAAAATTGTTTAGGAACTTTTTATAGTCCAAGACGTTCGTACTGAATAGGTCTTTGACATCAACCTGGATCAAACATCATTCTCATATTCAGTTTTTAATGTTAAATCTGAAAAAGATGTTGTCAAAAAGTTAGAAGCCTGAGAAAGAGAAAAATTTGAGTTATTTTAAAACTAAAAGATTTTCTGAAATTTTAGATTCGAGTGTTTTCTTGTTCGGAAATATTTTTTAAAAAAATTAAAAACCACTTTTTCTTACTCAGCTTGATGAGTTTTATCCAATCATGTATAATAAAACGAAAAATAACTTTTGTTTTAATTTTACATTATTGGCACCTTACAAAAGACATTGAAGTTTAAAAAATTTTAAAGCGTAGAAAACTCGTTCTAAGTTCTTTTATTTAATAAAACTTGTAACGTGTTAACGTCGAAAACTTCTTCATCAAACGACATTTACACGTACAAGTGAAAAAACGGTAGTACATTAGTAGGTACTATATTATATAGTAGTACATATACATAAATAGAGAATAATTAACAAAAGCAGAAAGGAGTGAGCCAAAGACCAATGACAAATCTCACCTACCGTTTTATTTTGCTCGGGTGCATAGTAAATAATTCCTACTGATTTTCAAAAAAATTTCTAAGTTTTGTCACATCTGACTAATAACTCTTCATGGTTAAGTCGGCAAATATTATCCTTGACCATGACTTAAGTGGAAAATTTAAACTATGAGAAAATGAAACAGCCAAGAGTGACAGTGAAGAAACACGATCGTGGTAAGAATAGCGCCATTCATTTATTAGTACTCAAACAGAAATTGTGAAGAAATAGTTAGCTATATTTAGAGTCGTAAACGCTTTTCGTAGAAGCGCGACATATTCGAGAGCTCATAAAATCGCATCTTATTTCATGAGTCTTACAGTGGACGCGTTACGTCTTACGCGATCCCGCCGCAATACAATATAGTCTATATATATGATGTTTGAAACCAGATTACCCGATAAAATGTTCAGCGTTACTTGTTTGATGAATTTCATATCTAATCCATATTCTGGGAATACAACTGATCAGTCATAATCACACAAACGATCCTATGTCGTTCAGTTTCTAGAATAACATAATTATTGATATCGATAATAGTAATATTATAGTTTAGTCACTCAATTCAACGGATAAACAAAATAAACACTGCGGTAATATCAGCCAAATATACAAACGACTATATGAAAATCACGTGAGATAATCACTAGTATAACCTGCAATATATAGGATATTTGTTGTTGATGAATCAACTTGAATTCGGAGAAACAAAATATTTTTCACAGATAAAAAAAGTTATATTATTCGGTAATTAAAGAAAAGATGAAGAAAAAATTAATGCCGTGACCCGGGATCGAACCAGGGACCTTTAGATCTTCAGTCTAACGCTCTCCCAACTGAGCTATCCCGGCATGACACAGTTGGATTAGTAGATGGTTTAACATATATCTATGAACTGATCATTGCAAAAAATGTATTTCACGTAAAAAAATCCATAGGAAACCCATTATCCAATAGTGAAATTTTTACAGGAAGGAAGTAGAAATCACAAGAATTTTTTATAATTTTTCTTACGAGAATTCTACATATTTTCTGATGTTTTTGAACTATACATACACATTTTTAAAGAAACTTCTTCAATTTCTTTTGAGAAAAATGTGGTTGGTTCATGCAAAAGAAAACGGTAAATAGTTTTTCGACATCGGGAAACCTGCATGATTCCTTCTAGGATTCCCGTGTAAACCATTCAGGCGTTTTTAAAATTTTGTGACTTTTTCCGAAATTGGATTCACGCGGGATTTCATACGAAACTTTGCAGGAAGCTACTAAAATAAGGTATTTCACGAAAGTTTAGTGAAAATCGTGCGGAATTTCTCAATTTTACAGGGACACTCAGCTATGGGACCGGCATAAACGGTTTTGAGATTGTTCATCAGCAGTTTAAATAATGAAAAAAACTAAGAATATGACGTTTGAAATGAGAGCGAGTTGTATAGTCCCTTTCGAAATAAATGAAATGATGCATGTGTGAGACAATTGCTTGCTTGTGGTATGATCTAATAGTTTATTTTGAAAACGGAAATTTTATCATGTTGGAAGAACCAGTGGCGAATCCAGCTATTTTGCAATACGTGAGGGTCGTACGTACCTTTAAAGAGAAATACCTATTGTTTTTTAGCAGAACTTTCTCAGAATAATTTGTTTGGATGACGACTGCACCTCTCTACACTTTTATAGTATATCGTACGCACCAAAAGAAAAATTTGGAATCCACTGTTGCAAAGGACATGTTTAGAATGATCGTAGATCAAATTTATATTGATTAAAGATCTTGTTAAAATAAAAGGCTCACTAGATATACTTTTGGCAAAAAAACGATAATTGAGCTGTATCTCATGTTATGTGAGATCGATTCCATGCTACTTGATCGATCCTTGACAAGTTAGATTCTTTTATTATCTTCTACAAATTAATTACATGTATAAGCATATTTTCTTTTGTAATTATTTAATAAAAATATTTAGTTATTAGACGAATATATCTTTCGGTAGATCATCACCATTTTCAAATGCGGTCCATTTTTCTCGTGGTACATTTTTAAATACTTCTTCTAATCGTTCAATTCCTCTGTCATCGTTCTGCTCTTTACGGATAAATATTTTCAAAATACGATCAGAATAGGCATTGTAGACATCGGCATAAATATCAGGATCCTTTTGAAAGATGTCACCAATTAATACAAATTGACGATTTTTTGTATTTTTCATGAACATGTTAAGTGTGTCCGTTTTACTTTTAATATAATTAGCCGACATAAAAAATTGGATGAAATTAACATCGAACCACGTAAAATGACGCATATGAGCACTTCCACTTGGAAAATTTTCTCTATCTAAAAATTCTCGTAAAAACGGGTACAATTGATCAGGTGAAGCGGTTAAATATGAAAATGTTGCATTGTATCTTTTCTCCCAATAACGATAAGCATCAGCCATTTTTTCAATAGACTTGTATTCACCAGCAAATGTATTTGCTAGTACAGCTGCTGTGCTTGTGACACCAGTCACTTTAATTGTGTCATCAATATCACTAATGAACGATATACCATTATCATCGCATAAATAAATTTCACCTAAATAAGAAATCGAAAATAAATGCGAATGATTTATTATTTTTAATCATTGAAATCTATGGAGATACAAAATTAAACAGTTACCTTTTGCTTGAAGTTTTTTATTTGGTGTTGAAACTGTATATGTTACTTTACCCCCATTTCCTCCCGGTTGAATAAACGATTGAACTTCTTCTTTTGTCATTTGAAAAGTATTTTTTATTCTACCTTCATCATCAGTTTTCGTACACATAGCTCTGTTTAAACCTTCAACACATAATTTCTTATCATCTTCACCACTTGCTGTGAATAGTCTTATACGTTCTTTATCAACATTTTTTATTCCGATAGATAAGGCTTTTGTCATTATCGTTGCTTGTACAGGATTATCTTCATAGTACCAACCTTGATTATGTAGTATCCAACCTGAACTTTGTCCTGTTGGTGAATGATCTCGAAAAGCAACCGAGGGTACTAGTATGATGTCCTCTTTGTCGTTAAATAAGAAGCCATTTGACGATAAAGCAACGATGGACACAACAATTACACACACTATAGCGTTCATTCTATTTCACAGCAATCAAATAGATACCAAAAATCTAGAAGAAAAGTATAGCACTTTTCTTCAAAATATATGAACAAGAATGAGAAAAATTAGAACTTGTTAAAAAAAACATATAATTCGCAAAATTTTGAAAGCGTATTCGGTCAAAACTGCTTACATATTCGCACTCTTCATAGTCGGCTACATTGTATATAACAAGTTTTGAATCGGGGTACTCTTAGAAAAAGTTCTCAGTCTCATTCAGTTCTTAATTCCTTCCAGGAACTTCGTAAAAAGTTCTTTTGCAAAACAATACAGAAAGTTTTTTCTGGAGTACCCCGATTTAAAACTTGTTGTATACAAGGTAATCGACTATGGAATGTCCAAATCTGCGATCCAGTTTTGGCCGAACGCTTTTCTCGACTGAATTGATATGTTAACGTTATCTTAGTGGTAAAATCTCAAAAAATTACCTATCGTGAGAGAAAGAATACAACAAGGTTATTGAATAAAATAACAGAGCCTGTATTTGAATTAATAAATATATTTAGAAACAACAAAACTGCAAGAATAATCTCATGTATCAGTTTGTTTTTTCTTCTTTCAAGCCATAAATAAATATCAATAAGCGTTTATCAGCAAAGTGGTATTATTTTTCAATTAAAAATTTTAAATGTTTTAAGAAATTTATGAAGGAATTAGAAAGTCAAAGCTAACAAACGGAGCTCAACAGAGAGTAGATCGATCCATTAAGATTTTATTGCACCCAGCGGTTTAGTTTTTACGATTTTAATTCAAACATCGAATGTCGTAAAAATAAATGACACACTTTTGTTCTATTTATTTCGAACGCTTGAGGCTCTAAGGCTCCATTCTTGGCTCATTCGTTAGACAACTTTCTTCTCTCTAGTTACCTTCTTTTCTTACATGTGGTTTGATTATTTGAAAAGTAGTAGTGCAGAGTAAGGACGGTTAAGAAGCATAACTAGGAGTTACTATCAAAATTTTGTTGGCTTTTCGACTTTTGTGTAATTTTTCAAATTGTGAAAATTTGAGTGCACAAATTAATCAG